CCCCCCCAATATTAGCTATAACTCCTCCCCCAAACAAAATGACCACCCCTCCAAAAAACTATTTCAACACCCCCCCCAACATTTGGCATAATAAAAAATAATTAAATAGTCCACTCCAACATGCAGAGTGTTGATGATATAAAATAAACGTAGGAGTACACTCAAATAGAAAAAGACAGTGCATTCACTGGTTTATTGGAGCAATTGTAAAGTTTTGAAACTATATTATCTCCCCTGAATAGAGTTTGCAGTGCCTTCTCATGCAAATAGCTTGCTCGGAAGGAACATTTGGATTTTTTACGAACATTATTTTTAGTTTTTAATGCTTTTAGAAAATAGACTTGCCTAGATTTAATCTTTATGCCCCAATTATTATTTACATCAGAGTTGCATCATAAATGTATTCAGATTCAAACGACACAATGTCAATGACTTTATAAAACTGGTAAAAGCATATTGTGTATTGGCCTATTAGGTTCATTTTACGTTTAACACTCCCAAGTCTCATCAGACAATCGGACATGCCAAATCCATTGATATGACCACTTCAAAAAACTTTTTCAAAGCTAGGAATCATGATTTTTTAAAATTTCTCCAGTGATACTTTGTTTTCTGCTCTCTAGACTCCCCCTCACATCTCTAGTGCTCCACCTCTAGAATATAGACCTTACTGGGGTATGGTGACACTTTGTGATGCTTCAGTCACCTGCTCACGGCTCACCCCCCCCCCCTAAAATTTCTGGCACCATGCACCACAGTAAAAAATATGAAAATCTGTCTATGTTAAAAAGATAGACGAGTATTAATTTTATGACTTATTATTTATAATGTAATTCATTTATAATGTAATTCATTAATATAATTAATTTAATATTATTTATAATATAATATCATTCTTATCTAATACAAAGAGTTTATTGTCTAATGTTATAATCGGCCAATCACCTGTTCATATTGGTAGAAGACGAAAGAGGGAGTATTAAACTACATACTGTATGTTTTATATAAATTTTATTAAGCAGAGACACGGTTGTAGGCAGATACAGATGTCCTGGATTCAGTTATCATTTTCTTGTGGCATGTGCCCAGTAGACTATTATCCCTTATTCATGCACCAAAGCTGCAATATTAAGAAATGTAGTCAAGTTACCCCATTATTGTTGCGCAATAACAAAATACAAACACAATTTGGATCATTCAAAAGGTTTAAAAAACATGATTACACAATAGGCAAGAATAAGCTGCTTATAGAAATAGAGGAAAGCTATAAACATACCTAATGATTTGTATGTATTTTTGGGCTATTATTTTAAATGAAAGGCATATACATTCTATCTAGGGTTACAGAGTTTCCCGGGTGAAGTATAGTAAGTCGGGAAAACTAAACATTCTCTACAGTAGCCAAGTTATCCGGCAAGGCAAGTAGGAAAATCGTCTGGCATTAGACAGAGTAAACAATAAAGTAGGATGCAATTCTGTTATTCAGCTATCTATACACTGAAAATATCAGATTAAATGCTGTCATTCTCCTGTAATTCCAATCCTTATTCAAGTATTAAAATGCTAACAGATCTTCAAAAACATCCGTATGTATAATATCTTATTTCATATCACTATATAGCCTTGAGTCTTGACATTTGAAAGGTCTAGCAAAGTGCCAATGTCAAAGGCAATTTAATATTGTCAAATTGTTAATATTAGTGCGTAAATTAGTATGGAATTCACAATAATAGATATATGAATTTATATTTTAATCTTTCGTTCCTTGCCTGAAAGCAACATTTGCATGTTTTATATGCAAAACGAACGAGGCAAATTCAAACATTCAATGGAATATTTTCACACTTTCCTCAAGTAAACAGTCATAATCACTACATTATTTCGCAATGAATCTGTTTAAATAACAAGTCAAATATAGGCTACAATTATTCTTACCTGTGGTATCTGAACAACATTTTAAGGACTTTCTGATGCTTTTCCCATCGTTATTTGCCATTTAAATTGCCTTGAAGGCCCTTTTTAATGCCATGGATATTTATATAAAATTATTCACAAAAATGTAAAACGACGCTATCCCGCGATGCTCCGCGTTCTAAAAGGTAAACTAGGTACCAGGCGTTTAGTGAATACGCGAGCTATGGCGAACTATTCCTGCTTGGATAAAAATTCCGGAGGGCAAAAATTCTCTTCAACGATTCAATAAAACTGAAAAGAGCTCAAATTTTGGAAACGAAATAAAAACAAAGTGACTATATTACCGGCAGCCGTTCTAACTCTCCAAAGGTTAGGGGTTAGGATTAGAGAAGGGTTCGGGATTGGGGATCGGTTTATCTATCTTATACTGAAGATTCAACTTTAACTATATAGTGAATGTACTGCCGGCCATTTAGTGTTTGATCAACCGTGAGCTGCCGGTCATATAGTCTCTTCAATTCGAAATAAAACTACAAATTTCCCTGACGCAATAAGATATACGTTGTTCTAAGTCTTGTTAAGATATAAGTTGTTCTATAACACTAGCATTTTACATTTTCTTGCTTCGAAAATTTAAGTAATAATGTCTTACTATTTTATAATTTTGTACTTTAAGAATTTCATTTATTGTCTTACGAACATATTCTTAAAGTAAGAAAATCGTATTTTCTTATTTTAAGAAAATGTTTTCTTATTAAGAAAGTAAGAAAATCGTATTTTCTTATTTTAAGAAAATGTTCTCTTATTAAGAAAATTTTTTCTTATTTTAAGAAAAAGATATCTTGGGATTCAAAAATTTCTTATTTCAAGAAATTTTTTTCTTACTGAGAAAATTATTTTCTTATTTTAAGATTTTTTTCTTAAATATATATATATATATATATATATATATATATATATATATATATATATATATATATATATATATATATATATATATATATATATATATATATATATATATATATATATATATATAATTCAATTTATTTTGGTTGTCCAGACATATAAAGTGCTCAATACTAAAAGTATAGCAGAGCTTATTAGATTGTCTATATCTTAAAATTAAATATCGCTACTCTGAGTTTCACGTCCTTTCTAGACGATCATCAGGCGATTTTGATCACGATTTTGTTATTGATTACGTGATTGCATCATCATCAACCGTTCGCTGACGCCTTAACTTGTTTGCTCGCGCGCGTTCGAATTTCCCGGCGCTGAATTTTTCTCGATGGCGACATTTCGCGAAGAACTCGGATCTTTTGTTCAACAGATTGGTTTTATGTGATTTCATGATTTCTAATTTCTCTTCTATGCACAAATTACAACGCCTACCGCCAGGTACATACGCTGCTGCTCGTTTCAAAATGGACCACTTAATACTGTATTCCCTTTTCTTGTCCTTCAAATCCCATACGTATTTGGAAAGTTCTGTGTCAGACGAGTACGCAGCCTTATTAAACGACTTTTTGTGATTTCTGTATCTAACCTTGAACTCCGTGGAAGTCATTCCAATGTATTCTTTGGTCGTTCCATCATGGGGCGTTGTTATTTCTGCCTTATAAACTACGTTGCTGGTCAAACACTTTTCATTCAGTGGACACACGTTAGATTTCCTGCAGTCACATTCTTTGGGTTCACGGGCTGTAGAGGTTTTTGTTAGGAGGCGGTGGTTGTGGCGTGTTATATTGCTCTTTACATTGTCCATGCACGAGTAACTGACTTTGATATTGTTCCTATTGAAGATCTTGTGGAGTGGGTTTTTGGGTGGAAAATGCTTGTCGATGAGTTGAAGGAAAGTTTGAGCGACATTTGTTCTGACTGTTTTGCTGAATGGGGGGTTGAACCAGATGATGTTCCTACGGCGTTTTCTAGACGGTGAGCGTGTGGAATTATTACCGGTCGAATATTGCAACCTGACATCATAATTGCTATGTTTGAGCGCATTCTGGTAGGGAGGTGCAGCAGAATTAAAAGTTGATTGGTCAGCAGATAGTGAGGAGATACGTTTGTTAATGGATGTAGGGATATGATTGATTATGGAAGGTGGATGATTAGAGCAACCGTAAAGTGGCTTGCTGTTCGGCTTTCTATAAGGTGAAAATGTCCCACTTTTCAGGTCTAGCGTTACGCCTAAGAAGTTGACAATATGGTGGTTGACGTCCGCAGTTATTTTCAACCCGAGATCATTAAATAAAGCATGTAACTCCTTTCTTGCTTTGTCACCCGCTCTGGCGCTTCTGCCCTTTAACAGAGCTAAACCGTCATCCCGATACAATCCAACAGATTCATTTCCAAATTTGGCTGCCAGCTTATTTAAGATGAAAAGACCGACCAGATTGCATATTTCCAAATTTGGCTGCCAGCTTATTTAAGATGAAAAGACCGACCAGATTGCATATTTCCAAATTTGGCTGCCAGCTTATTTAATAAGCTCTGCTATACTTTTAGTATTGAGCACTTTATATATCTGGACAACCAAAATAAATTGAATTACAATTGCACCTGGTTCTCAGTTGTGCACTCTAGTTTGTGTGGATATTCACAAATATATCTTGAAAAATGCATCGGATTCAGTTTAACTATTCGCTAAAGAATATCGGATTACCATCGAAAGAACAGTATCGAAGGCGTCTCATCGAAAAAGTTGAAAGCGTTGTTCAACGAATGAGGTGGAAAGCGCATTTCTTTTTGAACGTAAACCAACCAACAAAATCAGAGAATAAGTTTGGTTTGCCATCAAGAAATTACGCTACGCCAATAAGTGAAATGAAAGCATTTGAAGAAGATCTGGTTAAATTAACATCAAACATTGCGTTCAGAAAGGTAAACGATTCTTTTTTAAATAAAATCCATGAAGATCTTAAAAAAGTACATTCATCAAAAAACGTTTTTGTTTACGCTGATAAATCAACCAATGTTTATGAAACCTCTCCTGATAATTACAACAAACTACTTATGGAAAACATCACAAAAACGTACAAACTTGGAAACGAAAATGTAACAGATGATATTAATGATGAACTGAGAAATATAGCTAGCAATCTCTCCATTGGTAACCGGGTAGACACGATGGCTAAACGAAGCGCATACATAACGTTAAAAGATCACAAAGAAAACTTTGAATCTAACCCGAAGTTCCGTCTTATTAATCCTGCCAAGAGCGAACTTGGAAAAGTCAGCAAAATTATCTTGGACGACATAAATGCTAGAATAAACTCTACAATAAAAGTTAACCAGTGGCAAAATTCTCATTCTGTTATTGACTGGTTTCAATCTGTGAACAACAAATCCAACCACATGTTTCTTTCATTCGACATCGTTGAATTTTATCCTTCAATAACAGAAGATCTTCTCGACAAAGTCATTGCCTGGGCCAAGACCATCATACCCATTCCCGATAATCACATATCTATCATCAAACATGCTCGAAAGTCCTTGCTTTTCAACCAAGAAACACCATGGGTTAAGCGAAACAACGATACAATGTTTGATGTTACGATGGGCAGCTTTAACGGCGCGGAAATATGCAATCTGGTCGGTCTTTTCATCTTAAATAAGCTGGCAGCCAAATTCGGAAATGAATCTGTTGGATTGTATCGGGATGACGGTTTAGCTCTGTTAAAAGGCAGAAGCGCCAGAGCGGGTGACAAAGCAAGAAAGGAGTTACATGCTTTATTTAATGATCTCGGGTTAAAAATAACTGCGGACGTCAACCACCATATTGTCAACTTCTTAGACGTAACGCTAGACCTGAAAAGTGGGACATTTTCACCTTATAGAAAGCCGAACAGCAAGCCACTTTACGTCAACAGTTGCTCTAATCATCCACCTTCCATAATCAATCATATCCCTCCCTACATCCATTAACAAACGTATCTCCTCACTATCTGCTGACCAATCAACTTTTAATTCTGCTGCACCTCCCTACCAGAATGCGCTCAAACATAGCAATTATGATGTCAGGTTGCAATATTCGACCGGTAATAATTCCACAAGCTCACCGTCTAGAAAACGCCGTAGGAACATCATCTGGTTCAACCCCCCATTCAGCAAAACAGTCAGAACAAATGTCGCTCAAACTTTCCTTCAACTCATCGACAAGCATTTTCCACCCAAAAACCCACTCCACAAGATCTTCAATAGGAACAATATCAAAGTCAGTTACTCGTGCATGGACAATGTAAAGAGCAATATAACACGCCACAACCACCGCCTCCTAACAAAAACCTCTCCAGCCCCTGAACCCAAAGAATGTGACTGCAGGAAATCTAACGTGTGTCCACTGAATGAAAAGTGTTTGACCAGCAACGTAGTTTATAAGGCAGAAATAACAACGCCCCATGATGGAACGACCAAATTGGAATGACTTCCACGGAGTTCAAGGTTAGATACAGAAATCACAAAAAGTCGTTTAATAAGCCTGCGTACTCGTCTGACACAGAACTTTCCAAATACGTATGGGATTTGAAGGACAAGAAAAGGGAATACAGTATTAAGTGGTCCATTTTGAAACGAGCAGCAGCGTATGTACCTGGCGGTAGGCGTTGTAATTTGTGTATAGAAGAGAAATTAGAAATCATGAAATCACATAAAACCAATCTGTTGAACAAAAGATCCGAGTTCTTCGCGAAATGTCGCCATCGAGAAAAATTCAGCGCCGGGAAATTCGAACGCGCGCAAACAAACAAGTTAACGCGTCAGCGAACGGTTGATGATGATGCAATCACGTAATCAGTAACAAAATCGTGAACAAAATCGCCTGATGATCGTCTAGAAAGGACGTGAAACTCAGAGTAGCGATATTTAATTTTAAGATATAGACAATCTATATATATATATATATATATATATATATATATATATATATATATATAAAACAAAAACAACAAATATCAATCTTAAAATTTTATTTCATCGCTACAGTGTTTCACGTACAGCGTACGATCATCAGGCGATTGGTGTTAATTATCTCGCAATAAATTACAACGGTTTAGGCTGACGCGCTAAGATTGCTGACGCAAGCATTTAAATGTGTTTACTTACTTGCGCGCGCGCGCTTGAAGTTAGAAGCTTTATAACTGTTCCTATGCCTACACTTTCTAAACAATTCAAATCTTATATATTGAATGTATTATTTTTGTCTGATAACATAATCATTCTTTTTTCATCGGTGCACAGAGAACAAACTTTCATTCCTGGGCAAACGGCTGGAACTTGCTTCAGGACCGACCATTTTATTCGGAAAGATTTATCCTGCGATTTATGACCCCAAGCATATTTCGAAAGTTCCTTCTCTGTCGAATAGCGTTCATTGTTCAATGATTTCAAATGATTGCTATATCTTAGCTTGAAAGGACCCGCCGTCATTTCTATATAATTCTTGACCACTTTCCCACTGTCGCTTGTAATCTGGGCTTTATATACAACGCTTCTCACGAGACAATTACCGTTCAGTGGACATTTACTTTTAATTCTGCAGTTACACGATTTCGAGGGAATTTGGGTGGGATTCTGATTCTTAAGAACACGCCGCGGGTTGTGAATAACTGAATTTGACAGAGTTTCGATTGAAAATTTTATGTAGGATCGATGATTTTGGGAAATGCTTGTCTATTAAACGAAGCATTTCCCAAAATCATTGATCCTACATAATATTTTCAATCGAAACTCTGTCAAAGTCAGTAATTCATGCATGAACAATATTAAAGTATCAATTTCAAACCACAACAAAAATAGGAATGACGGCGGGTCCTTTCAAGCTAAGACATAGCAATCATTTCATATCATTGAACAATGAACGCTATTCGACAGAGACGGAACTTTCGAAATATGCTTGGGGTCATAAATCGCAGAATAAATCTTTCCGAATATAATGGTCGGTCATGAAGCAAGTTGCAGCCGTTTGCCCGGGAATGAAAGTTTGTTCTCTGTGCACCGAGGAAAAAAGAATGATTGTGTTATCAGACAATAATAATACATTAAATATAAGATCTGAATTGTTTAGCAAGTGTAGGCATAGGAACAGTTATAAAGCTTCTAATTTCAAACGCGCGCGCGCGCAAGTAAGTAAACACATTTAAATGCTTGCGTCAGCAATCTAAGCGCGTCAACGTAAACCGTTGTAATTTATTGCGAGATAATTAACACCAATCGCTTGATGATCGTACGCTGTACGTGAAAAACTGTGTAGCGATGAAATAAAATTTTAAGATTGAAATTCGTTGTTTTTGTTTTTGTATATATGGCATTTATAATTTTTATATTTGTATATCCGACTCAGTCTCAGCTTTTCCTGTTCACTAAAAAAACTATCCTACGGTGATTAACATATATAAAAATTATAAATGCCATATCGTGATGATTAACATATATACGGCTGAAGAAGACATGTTACTGTCGAAATGGTATACAAATTCGGCATGGCTTTGGTGAGTGGCCATGTGGGTGTGCAGGAATGGTTGTGACTGGTTGGGTTCGAATATACCATCGGGCTGATAGCTCAGTTGGTAGGGCGATGGCCTTGTAACCCAGAGGTCGCCGGTTCGAATCCGACTCAGTATCAGCTTTTCCTGTTCACTAAAAAAATACTTTCCTACGGTGATATATATATATATATATACAGGGATACTTTGTTTTCTGCTCTCTAGACTCCCCTCACATCTCTAGTGCTCCACCTCTAGAATATAGACCTTACTGGGGTATGGTGACACTTTGTGATGCTTCAGTTACCTGCTCACTGCTCACCCCCGCCCCCCCCACCCCTAAAATTTCTGGCACCATGCACCACAGTAAAAAATATGAAAATCTGTCTATGTTAAAAAGATAGACGAGTATTAATTTTATGACTTATTATTTTTAATGTAATTCATTTATAATGTAATTCATTAATATAATTAATTTAATATTATTTATAATATAATATCATTCTTATCTAATACAAAGAGTTTATTGCCTAATGTTATAATTTATTGTCTAATGTTATATATATATATATATATATATATATATATATATATATATATATATATATATATATATATATATATATATATATATATATATATATATATAGTTAATTTAAGCAAGGAACAAGCATTCGCGCCAATGATCACAGACCTTACTAATGATACGATCTGTAACACAGGTTATTTTTACAGAGCTATATTATAAGGTATTAATAGAATATAGCACGTAATCTGATTGACGTGACTAATGTGCGTGTATTATGACGCCATGATGAACTGTTTGGGTCTTGGAGTATTTGCTTCTTTTATCTCCGGTTGTATTGCAAAACGATGTGAACAGATTTATAGCGTACTTTTTCAGTGCAAAATTTATTAGAAGCAATATAGAATAGACCAAGAATGAAATTCAAAATTAGCCAACAAGATACATAGAAAAACAAGCGAAATTAAGGAGGCTTGATACGGTTTATCTGATCCATTTTTCCGAAAGTAAATTTTAATCGCAGGCAGTGGCGTAGGAACCGCGGGGCCAGGGGGGGGCAGCCCCCTCCCCTATTTTTGCCAAGATCCCTTTTTCCGGGATCAAAGTGCCCCTTTCTTGCGTGAAAAATGTGTTAAGGATTGCCTTTTTTGCCCAAAGAGCACTTTTGAAAACTTGAATTTATGTTATTTTCCGGAAAAGTGTATTCATTTGCGGGAAAAATATGATATATCCGGACATTTGTGGGTATATCCGGAAAAAAATTTTCATTTGTAGGAAAAATGTGATATATCCGGAAATTTTTTTTTGGTATGTCCGGAAAATTTGTTTTGAGATCCCCCTCCGACGCCAACTTTTCCGGGAAAAAAAATTTTTAGAGCCATTTTCAGGAAATTGCCCCTCAAAGCTTGCCCCCCAACTTTTAGAAGCTTCCTTCCCCCTGTTCGCAGGGATTCCACCCCGGCCCGGTCTGAATTCTATTTGCATGTATAGGTAATCACACGGGAAGGAGTGCAATTAATTAATGATTAACGCTACGAGTGATATTCAAAAAATGTACCAAAATTGAACGAGCCGCCGTTTGTTATTCCGTTTCGTTTCGTCCACGTTTGTTATTTATACTAGATAAATTTCGTCGCCATATTGTATTTTTGTTGTTTTGATTTTCCGCTCCCCCCAGCCATCACGAAAATCATTAATTGCACTTCTGGATAGGCATGTCTCGATTGCGCTCATTAAATCCAGAAAAGTTGCTCTCTAAAACAAAAAAGGTGCCCTCAAAAGCATTAAATTTGC